ACTCCAGGATTCCCACATGAACATATTCAATCCAAAATTCCCTTATTAAATCCAATAAACTTTAATTGGAATCTATTAGGCTTAGACTCAGATGCAGAACCATGTATCCAGGATTCCAGGATCCTATGACTCAACGAAGGGACCGCATATATGTACATGAACGCAACTGAGATACGATTTTCACCAAAAAAAGATCTCTTCGGTGGATCATGGGGGGGGGTGTGAGCATATATATATATATATATGTTAAATTTTTCTCATACATATTGTAATATACGTCGGAAGGGAGGCTTTGGAGTTTACTGGGTTGCTGTTAAGGAACTTAAGATTGAATTAAGTTGCTACGCGGTTTAGGGTTAGGATGGTTGAGGGCTTACATAGGGTATAGTGAGGAAACCCTCTTACTTGCTGTTTCCTTAGCAACAATCCTGTTTAGGCCGTGGGCTTGAGGCTTTAGGGATCTTCAGGGTTCAAGCTTTAGGGAAGTTGAGGGTCTGGACGGTAGCTACACAGGTTTGTAGAGGTTACGGTTGGCGTTATCGGCTGTATGCTCCCTCTTTTCAGCCTGAAGATTAGGGGCACGCTTGCTAGTTAAAAAGGTACTCAACACAGGGGACCACGATGTTCGTGGAGTTCTTGTTGCTGATCCCGACCGACGTCTTAGGGTTAGGATGTCTCCGTGTTGTTGCAGGATACAGGCATGGCCCCAATCTCCTGGTTGAAAAAGAGAACTGTTGTCAGACCTATCCTCACGGCAGTGTTGACTTTTGCTGTATACCTTGATTTGGGGACATCACCCCTAAACTCTAAACTCTAGATTCTAGATCATCCTGTGCATCTTTCATTGTACAATGTAGCCTGAGGCAAGAGACAGACATCCAGGAGGAAAGCGGAGAAGGTCCCAGAGTTGGCCGAATAGCTTGACATTCTATAAGTGGTATATAGGGTTCTATAGGGACAATGGAAGAATGGAAGCTACTATGGCAGTAGCTTGCATTTTATTTTCCATTATCCCTATCTAATCCATATTTTCATCTCTATAATAGTAGTACATATATCTATGTAGCTCCAAGGATTTAGGGTTTAGGTTTAGGGTTTGCAGCTTGCAATGCTGCAGATTCATGGGGTGAGGGAGTTTCTACAGGTTGGCTTCGGCATCAAGCGTTTGAGCTCTAAAGGGTCAAACACCCTCTCTGTCGACCTCTCAGCAATTGGCTGGGAGGCCATGCAGCTTCTTGCGGGCTGTTGCGAGTCCACCCGGAAGCGCATGCCTCCGCTCTTCGTCTGCAAAAGTTGGCCTGCACACCGTGTAGGTTGCGACACCTCTGTAACACGTCGGGCCTGCGCATGTGACTCCACCATGCCAAGCATAGGTTGGAGACTTGGAGAAACGAGGCTCCCAGCAACAAGTCAGGGTGCCAGCCTCAGAAATCTCCAAGCAGCTGCTACGGAAGCTAGGTAGAGTTATAACCAGGTAACATCTTATAGTCTCTTATAAGAAGCTGGCATGGACAACACCAGTGTGTCCTATCATGCCTGGTACAGAAGCAGCTTTGTTGAGCAGGAGGGCGTTGCTGTGCTGTCTTTGTGGACTTGCCAGTCCGAGTCCATCGTCAACGGTAGTTTCACGCGTCTGAGCTGACTTTTGCATATGAACCAGTCGTGGCAGCTTTTTCGGGGGCTTCGAGGCAGAACCCAAAAGAAGACAGTGGCTTGGACAAGCAGCACAAGGACTCGGATATGAATGCTGCAGTGCTGGGGTGTCAAACATTCCAGGGCAGGCAGCTGAGAGAAACTGGAGTTGGCCGTGTTTTTGCAATTTTACAGCTCCGCCCGCCGTAAAGCAGCGAGACAATGTTTCCGTACTACTTTGGAGAAGGTACTCACGCCGATCACTTCATGCAGCTTTTACATCCATATGGTCGTTGAACCCGAGCTTTCGTTCGCGGAACTCATTCATGGCTTGGCCAGATAAACGGTTGCGCATGATGATGCATCACGTGGGGCACTTCTCAACGTGACCCGCGCAAGCATGGGATGAAGTGCATGAACAAATTATGAGCTCTACATCAGTGCTTGCTCCGCTGAACTTTCCCCGAGATGTCCTTGGAGAGTCCTCAGCTCATTGTGATCGTGAACCAGTAATGCGGGTCATGAAGAGCTTCCAGGGACATCTTAAATGCTGAGATCCCAGCCCTGGAGCAGCATATGACCAGTCAGACCCCGCCCTAAGATGTAGAGAGAGAGCTCTCCAACAGCAAGAAGATGATCCATGGAACTTTTAGAAGATCATCAGGCAGCAGGAGAAACTCAATAACCTTCAACATCCTTTTCAAAAGAAACGGCAAGTGCACAGCTCCAAAAAGCCACCGCAGCCTTGTCAAAAAGTCTGCCCCTTTTATCTATGGCAAGAGTATAGGGGTCCACTTAACGCGTGTTCAGACAAGCGGTTGGACGCAAAGCTTGGACTCATCCGCCTACTCAAGTTTATGCCTTGTGCATGCTCGGCGTCACTCGTACAGCCTGGCCCACACCTGGAAGAGAAATGAGGCTTTGCATGTTGGTGGGCTAGCATCATCCCCAAGCGGTGCCTGAGTCAAGGAGTGTAAGAGTGAGGCGCCTGAGGTAGGTGTGATAGCTTAGCAAGCTGGCGCTTGAAGAATCCATCTGCCGCACATTTTTCTTGACATCTGGGAGAGGACTCCTTCTGGGAGGGGAAAGGCTCAGTGTGCTAGCAAATCGTGATCGTAGACATAGTCATGGCCTAAAAGGACCATAGCAAACCAGCTTTCAGCAGAACATAGTAGAACCTCCATGTGAGCTACTGTCTAAACTCCTAGTATCCCCCTTAGTAACCCCTATAGTAGTCCCCTATATAATCCCCCTTTAAGGAGTTTAGACTATAGCTCATGTGGCAAAGACCGAGGAGCCTCGACAAAGCAAGGCTGGAGCTTCGAAGATGGCCAAAGCCAAGGCCAAGGCAGATTCATAGTGGGTTATATAGGGGTTATATCGGGGTTATATAGGGGTTATATAGGGGTTATATGGGGGTTATATACAGCTGCTAAGGCCAAAGCCAAGGGAAGTTCCCGGACCAAAGCTGGCAGCCCGAAGCTTTGGGAGGAGGATGCCAGCCCATCACCCAGAGCAAAGAGGGCCCCAAGGAAGGATGCAAGAGAGGCAAGGGCCAACGAGACCCCCAACAGGCAGAAGCCCTGGACTAGAGAGGAGGATGCTTGGTCGGCAGCAAGTTTTAGATCCTGCCGTCTTTGGGTGTTCTCGTTCGAAGCTGTAGCCGCGTTAGCGTGGCAAGCGCCACACGTGTTAACTCAGGAAGCTCCTTTCGCAGCTGACCGGGAGCCAAGCCCCGCTCGAGGCAGCTGGGCTCCAACAAAATGCGGTGAACCATGCTCCACTCCCTGCAGAACTATGCAAAAGCTAACTTGCTGATCGCCTGATTCCTCCAGCGCATGCTGGCAGGTGGTTTCAACGTAGGGTCTGCTGCGGGGGGGCCATAGAATTTGGCTCAGATTCTTAGCTTAGCTTGCATTTCAAACCGCCTGTTGCAGCAATTCGACATGTCCGCCGGGGCCGACTTTACGGAGATGGCCGGGAAGGCGCTGAAGGATGGCGTGCGCCTGGCCCGCGAGAGGGGCCACCTGCAGCTGGATCCTGCACACATCTTCTCCGTTCTCGTGAAGGACAAGGGCACCCTGCCCGCGCAGGTGCTCTCGCGCTTGAATGGAGACAGCCAAGAGGTGGTCAAAGGATGCGACCGGCTGCTGAGCAGCTTCAGTTCCCAAAGCCCTGCGCCTGAGGATATCGCGCCAAACAATGCCATGCGCGGCACCCTCGCTGAAGCAGAGCGTCTCAGAACAGCCAGCGGCGACAGTTTTCTTAGCCTGCCGGACCTCTTCCTTGCGCTGCTGAAGCAAAAGTCTCTGAAGGAAGTCTTGTCTTCAGCTGGCTACAGTATCTCCGCAGTGGAGAAGGCCGTTCAGGAAGTCCGTGGATCCAAGAAGGTAGACAGCCAGACCGCTGACGAGAACTTTGAGGCACTGTCAAAGTATGGAAGAGACCTGGTCGCTGATGCTGAGAATGGCAAGCTGGACCCCGTCATCGGCCGTGATGACGAGATCCGGCGCGTTGTGCAAGTCTTGGCCAGGCGCACGAAGAACAACCCGATCCTGGTGGGAGACCCAGGTGTTGGCAAGACCGCCATTGCTGAGGGCCTGGCTCAACGGGTTGTGGTTGGGGATGTGCCTGAGGCACTGAAGGGCTGCCGAATCATTGCGCTCGATGTTGGCGCGTTGATCAGCGGGGCAAAGTATCGTGGTGAGTTTGAAGAGCGGCTCAAGGCTGTTCTCCAGGAGGTAAAGGATGCGGAGGGAAGGGTGGTCCTCTTCATCGACGAAGCGCACCTTCTCATCGGTGCAGGCAAGACAGATGGCGCCATGGATGCCGCCAACCTCTTGAAGCCAATGCTGGCGCGCGGTGAGCTACGATGCATCGGCGCCACGACTGTGGATGAGTACCGGAAGTACATTGAGAAAGATGCCGCCTTAGAGCGACGATTTCAGCAGGTCCATGTGGAAGAGCCTTCGGTCCAGACAGCCATCACCATCCTCCGTGGCCTGAAGGACAGATACGCAGCCCACCATGGCGTCAGCATACAGGATGCGTCGCTCGTAGCTGCCGCGACACTGTCCAGTCGGTACATCACCTCCCGGTTTCTACCGGACAAGGCAGTGGATCTTCTCGATGAGGCTTGCTCCAAGATCCGAGTTCAGCTGAGCTCTCAGCCGGAGGCCATCGACAGCCTGGAGCGAAGGCAGCAGTACCTTGAAGTGGAAGTCAAGGCACTCAGCAAGGAGAAGGACCACGTCTCCAAGACGAGGCTGGCAGAGGCCCAGAAGGAGCTCTCTGCTGTTTCTGAGGAGCTGGCGCCGCTACGGGCCCGATACCAGCAGGAGCGGGAGCTGATCGACGACTTGCGCAAGTCCAAGCAGAAGCTGCAGGACCTGAAGAGGAAGCTCGAGGTCATGGAGGCACGGATTGTGTATTGCCTGACATGCCAGACGCATCACCATTCCAGGTTTCAGGGGGATAGGTCTTGTGTACACGCGTGCACGCAAAGGCACAAGCCCTACTGTGAGCAGGCACGCCATGATGTCGATGCTGCCGCAGACCTCCGCTATGACGCCATTCCTGGAGTCTTGCATCGTATCCGTGAGCTCGAGGGCAAGAAGAAGCAGCAGGAGGATGCGTCCGAAACCCCGCTCCTGGTAGAGACTGTGACGCCGGCTCACATCGCCGAGGTGGTCTCCCGGTGGACCGGCATTCCTGTGTCCAAGCTCTCGCAGGGGGAGAAGGCCAAGCTGCTGCATCTAGAGTCGGAGCTCAAGAAGCGCGTCATCGGACAGGAGGAGGCAGCAGCAGCCGTCGCACGCGCAGTGCTCCGCAGCGCAGCTGGCCTTGCAAGGCGGAACCAGCCAACTGGCTCCTTCCTCTTTGCTGGACCCACGGGGGTTGGAAAGACCGAGCTGGCGGGGGGCAGCCAAGGTTGGCTTGGTGTAGGACAATCTGCTAGACCTGTTCTAGCATCCCTGACAGGCCAAGGCTCTTGCTGCGGAACTCTTCGACAGCGAGTCGCGGATCATCAGGTTTGACATGTCGGAGTACATGGAGCAGCATGCGGTTTCGCGGCTGATCGGCGCACCTCCTGGCTACGTGGGCCATGAGGCGCCCTGGCAGCCCCATGAAGCATCCCTAAGCATGAGGGGGCTGATGGTAGACACCTCTTTTATATAACTAATCAGAATGACAAATAGTGACCTTAATTAAGATACCATAAATAGGGCTCCTCTTTCGACTCTGCAGGCAGGTGGCCAGCTCACGGAGGCTTTGCGGCGGCATCCCTACAGCGTGGTCCTCTTCGACGAGATGGAAAAGGCGCACCCGCAAGTCCTCAACGTCTTGTTGCAGCTCCTGGATGATGGGCGGATCACGGATAGTCAGGGAAGGACGGTGGACTGCACCAACTGCGTGGTCATTATGACCAGCAACCTGGGCTCAGAACATTTGATGGGTTCGGAGACCCGGCATGGGTCGGCCCTGGAGAGGGCACGGTCCATGGTCTTGCAAACCATCCGGAGGTCGCTGAGGCCAGAGCTGCTGAATCGATTGGACGATGTCGTTGTCTTCAACCCTCTGAATGGCAATGTACTCCGTCAGGTTGTGCGCCTTCAACTTGCAGATGTGGTTCGCAGGCTGGACGAGCTTGAGGTCACCATGCACATCACTGATGCCGCTGTGGACCACGTCCTGAAGGCGGCTCATGACCCCGAGATGGGTGCTCGGCCGCTGAAGCGCTATTTAGAACGACACCTGGTCTCCCGCCTTAGCACCCTGGTTCTGGAGGACAAGCTGCCTGCAGGAAGCACTGTCACCATCGACTGGAAGGAGAGCGGAGGCCGCGCTGGCGATTGCCGAGGCGATTGGGACTTTGACGTGGCGAGCAGTTTGAAGAGGCAGCGAACCACCGAGCAAGGATATGCCAAGCTGTGAGATGAGACATGTTCAGATGCTAGTGACTATGCACTGCTGAAGCATAGAACAGTGCACGGCAGGTCCTGGAGACTGAACATGGCAGTTTTTGTAATATGTAAGTTCGTGGTAGGTTTGTCACCAGGACCTGCAAATTTGAGACTTGAGACCCTGCCTTGTACAGCATGTAGGTCTCAAGCTGAGCTCAGATTCTTATAAGGCGTTGGATACTTGCGGCAAACGATTCGATGTGAACGCGGTGATTCAGACCCCACCTAGCCAAATAGCTACCTGTCCAAGCCAGCTTCCATAGTTTCAGAATTTGTAATCTACTTGACTTGGTTCGTCAATTTGTGTGTCTATGCGGAAAGATCACTCGTGCTGAGCGTCCTGAGGCGATCATGTGGATTGTACAGGGCCACTGCCACGTCTCAGTTTGACCTTTGCCAGCCGGCTGCCAGCCCAGGACTCCATTTAGTTCCAGTGTTTGTCCAAAACGAGGCATGCACATGCGTGTTTCCAAAAGTAGGGGTCCCCTAACATACGCCCAGAATAGTGTAATCCTTTACATACGGAACCTCCAAAAGGGGACCCCTAAATTTTGGAAACCCCCCACATGCCTCCATATACCTATGCCTACCATTACGCGGCGCGCTTCAAGAAAGGGACCGCTGCAGGCTAAGCTGCCTTCCCAAAGTCCACAGGGCTGCTGCAACAACTATAGTGTAAGACTTGTTAAGAGTTTATGAACGTTTTGGTTGTAGTGTGTTCAGTAGTCCTGCATCATGACTTTGTGATACTTCATGGCAAGATTCTAACCTACTGGCTTCAGCCACCGAGAAACATGTCTTGTGTGTCTTTCAAAGCCAAGCTCAACAGATCTACCATCCTGGCAGCTCCTGTAATGGTGCGCAGTGACCTACCCAGGCAAGGGCCTGCTTGGTGCCTTGGAGGCCATGGGGTTGCATCATCATGTTCGCTTAGTGGGTAAGAACAGCAGCCGGGGCAGTATTCGCAGCAGCAGCACCAGCAGCAGTACTAGCGGCAGAATTCGGAGGAGGTGGAGGAGGAGCAATGGCAGTGGTAGCCGTAGCAGTACTGGCGGTGGTTGCATCAGTGGTAGAAGCATGCATGTATGTAGAATCATTAGCGTATGACATTTTCATCAGGCGGGTCGGATGAGGAGCCTGGCGCGCCCTCTCTCAGCCTTCGTCGGGTATCTCGGGAATCCTGTGAGGATTTGTAGGCAGTGCCACAGATTCATAGTTTACTTGGGAGTTTTGTGCAACCGGACTTGTCAATAGTAATCTTGCCAACAGTAATGTATGCGCTGCGGATCGTTCCGCTTCTGCTACGTCTGAAACCACGCCGATGATTACCGTACATTCTTGCTACGATTTTCGTTAGCATTCCTTTTTTTCATGTTCTGACTGCAGCTGGTCGCTCTTGCCTACTCATCCTCTAGGTGATGCCCCGCGCACTTATAGTGACAGCAAGGGACGCTGGTAAATATTTTAGGATCCCCTGATGCTCTTATAGGGGTTTCCCATGGATTCCCAAAACTAGGGGTACCATTTTGGGGCCCCACAATAAGGATTATAGTATACTGGGGTCTATATTGGGTCCCTTTAATTATTTTGAGAACCTACCCTATGATAAACACTACTTGAAGGGGCGGGTGGGCAGCCTGACTTATACCCGGACATAACTCTGAGGCCGATGCTCCTTCGCTCAACGGATTCAAGCTGGGCACACGGTTGCAGAACGCAGAGCTGGCAAAGATTCCTGCGCGGCCTCATCCTACACTTTGCCTACATAAATGGCTGCTTGGGGGGATTAGGGGGACTTGGAGCAGGCTGTTACAAATACCCTCTGGAAGTTGCGCCGCTTCGTGAACCCATGGGCAACGACCCTGAAACTTCCAGACCCCCGGACTCCCTGAGCCCCAAGCCCCATACAGCCTGAGGGGAAAGCCCTCCTTGGCCCGCCTTGCCGCAGAGGCGGCTGCTGCAGCCTGACCCCCGCGGAAGGTTAGAGTTTGAGGTTTTTGGGTTTCATGATATCGGGGTTCAGAAAGGGTGAGTCGATGCTGGATGCAAGAGAAGGCTTCAGGACTTCAGGCTTTTGGGCTATGCTTCAGAATTTTTGGGGTGACAATCAGTGCATTTGGAGGGACTTCATCTTGCCCTCTGCAGTGGAGCGTTTGTCTGGTCTTGCTTCCTGCTTTTTGCAGCTGAGTTTTTGAGAAAGTACCAGTGATTAGAATCTAGAAGCTTCCAGGCTCAGGCTGCAGGACGACAGAGGGCTGAACAACTCGGCCTCATGAGGTCGGTAATGGCCCCAAGCCAGAAGTCGCGAGCTTACCGCCACAACGACACACACCACGTTTGCGAATTCCTCAAGCTGCTGAGAGTTGCTGAGGCCAAGGCCCGAGCGTCCACCAGGAGGCTCCTGCAAGCACAGAATCTGTAGCATAATATTAATAATATCAATATTAATAGTATTAATATTAAGACTATTAATATTATTATTTGTATTATTAATATTAGTATTATATTAATATTATTCATATTAATATTAGCATGAGCAGTTCGACTGTAAGTGTGTGCCAGGGGCGTGAGCAAGCGTGCTGTTGGATGAGCAACGGCAAATTCGGCAGTTTCTGTGTGCACCGGCCAACTCCATGCACAAGTGTTGGCTGGGCAAATGGGCAGCAGAGAGCCTGGTTCCTGATAGGGGTGTGCAAGATGTAGCAAAAGCAAAAATACGAGCAATGATAACAATGACAAACATAGAAATAGTAACAATCGTGAAAATAATGGTGTCCGCTGCCTGCTGCTTTCAAGTGCCGCTAGGGGCATCCAGGGGTTTGGATGGGTGAAGTTTGCTGTGGGGTCTGTGGCCACAAAAAAGAGTCAGCGCAAGCATGCTGATCCGGAACTTCAGGCTGGACGCGCTGCTGTATAGGGTTATAGTCCCCTTCACGTAGATAGAATATGGCTTGGGGACTATGTACGAGGGATTATTTATGGTGTTGAGGGATGCGGTGGAGATTAAAAACCTTGCATGACCTGCACATACCAAATGCATATTTCCCAGGGTATAAGGTACCTGTTGGGGTCATAGAGGATTGTTTGTTGCCCTCATCGCGGAGACTCAAGTGGAACAGGAAACGGACTATGAGAAATGAACAAGGGATGACAAGGCGGTCGTATAGCGGTTGCACATGGTAGTCTGGTAGTCGTGCGCTTATCCAAAATCCTTGCTGATGCGCCGGAGTCCCATGCATGCCATGCGACACAGTGCTGAAGCCCTCTGGGGCTTTGAATGTTGGCCCTAAACCCTAAACCCCAAATAATGTAGTAGTTTCCTTTCATGTTAAGTCCCGGATCTCTACACCCCATCATAATCTTATGTCAGCCTATATAATTCGATGGCTTTCAAGCTGGGGAAGACGCTCCCGTGGAGTTCCCTGGGCCTCTGCCTCTCGGCCAAGGCTTGCGCCCTGCACCGGGTTTTCGGGTTTCGGGTTTCGAGTTTAGCATTGCTGTTAGGGAACTTGAATTAAGTTACCATAATATCGGTATAGTGCATAATAGGGGTTCCTTATTATAGAAAGTTCATTAAAAGCAACCAAGTTGTTTGGAATTGGATTTTGGTGTAGTGTACCATAAGTACGGGAAGTTTTTCCAGAAGACTATTTTAGATGAGAACCGCAATTTTCGGCTGGATGACATAAGCAGTTTACGCTTGAGCAAAGAGAGTACATGGGAAAGGGGCAGGTTAGGGAAGCTCCAGGGTTAGGAGGGGGTTTAGGGTTATAGTCCCCCTTAAGTAGATAGAATATGGCTTTGGGTATATTATTATAAGATCCCCATATGCCCCATACTCTATATACTTAAGGGGGGGCTATAAGGGTTTAGGGATGCTCGCTTCTGGCAGGGCTGCCGCATGTGACCGGGATGTGCTCAGGGCGATGGACCTTTCCCAGATCCCTGCCTGGACAGGTGTGGCTGACAGCGCATGGCCCGTATACCAGATGTCAATCATTTGTCCCTTGGCTGGTGCATAGTATTACTTTTGTTAATATTTGATGATTAGTATATTATTGCTATAGTACTGCTATATTGCTACATGAAACAGCCCAACAGCTCTGGTATCAAATCGTCATAAGAGACCTCACATATTGGGGGACAGGTTTTAGGGGTGGGCGGGGTGTTTAATGTGAGTATGAAGGGGTTGAGTGTTCTGCTGTCATAGCGACAGTGAAGTGGAAGTAGCTGCTGTGATCTCAGGTGTTTGTGGTGCGTAGGTTTGGTGCTGAGGGCTCAGCTGGTCAGGCATAGCGTCAAGATTGACAACATCAACTGCTCGCAAGATGAAGTGATCTCTGCCAATCCCTCAGCATGCAGACCTCTAAAGATTTTTCCGTGCTATCCATAGTCATGAATACAGTTATGTAGAACTGAGCGTGTACGAAAAGATTTCGGGCCGCCTCCACGTTGTTGTTTCGTTGCAAGTGCACTTGGGGCTAGGTCAAGGAGGAGCTCAGGGAAAAGTTCTCCAAGTTCGGGGAGATTGGAGATGCCGTGGCTCCTGGAGACAACACTAAAGTGCAAGACTGTCGCTTGAGTTGTGGTGAATCTATCTATATATATATGTATAATGTGTATATAGGTAACTACACATTGTGTAGGAATACTAGTAGGCTCGGATCTACATGGGTTTTCAAAAGTACTGAACACCACTGACTTGGAATCAGGTGTATATACCCAGAGACCGGAACTTCGCATTTGTGCGATACCTGGAGAAACGCTGCAGCCTCGGGAAGCCTTTTGGCAGTGAAAACAGGTTGCTGCTAAAAAAAGAGCCAGCTCCAGTTTTTGGGCCCCCCAGGGTTACTTTCCAGGAAGGAGTCCTGGATGCAAAAAAAGGTGTTTTTCCGACATGACTGAAATACGCTAGCGTGCGCCCGCCTTGGTTGTTGAGCTGCAGTCTACAGAAAGATAATTTCCTCTGAAGCATTGAGAACAGGCTCATTTGACCAGCTCTCCTGCACAAGAAAATAGACGTTGGACTGCCCCGCACACCAGTTTCATCTGGATGTGGTAACGGAGCTCCAGGAGTACCCGAAGTGCAGTGTATTTAGAAAGTCTCCAGGCAAGATCCCGGTGGATGATACTGAGGAAAGAGGGGATTTGGGCTTGGGGGAGAGCTGGAGGTTCCAAGCGCCCTGGGACTAGATGCCTCGCCGAATTTGCAAGTCCATGTTTCTCGAAATCATCGTTACATAATCATTAGCAGAACCCCCCATAGCGTCCTTTCAATCCCCACTTATTTCTACGGTCCGTTTATCGGTAGCACTAGTTTGGGAAACTCCGGTATCTCGGCCAAGGTGATGCTCAAGATGCTGTCGATGCTATGGTGTGCAAGCTCAGTCACTTCCATGTGCGGCTTCAGGTCTTAGGATTACAGTGATTACAGTCTCGTACAGTGGAAGGAAAACTAATGCGATGTGTTACGTGCGTCCCCCCCTCTCCGCACAGCCACTTGGCCATCCACCAAAACGCGGACAAACATGTATTACGGAGATGGATCTTGATTGTTGCGGCCTTTGAGAGGGTAGCGGAATTGTCAGAAGCACCTCCTCTGAAGACCTGAGACCTCCAAAAACTGCCTAGGATGGCAAGGACATCATGGGCCACGAGGTCAGCGTGTCCTTGTCGATGCAGGCGCATCCATAAAAGCTGCCCACCGGGGTTGATGTGCCATAAGCTTGCTGCAGCAATCTCTACACAAAAGTGTTTCCTTCAGCAAGGGAAGTATAGTAAAGTATGTTATGCTACCTAGCCTTGAGGAAAGGGTTTTGATAGCCCGTCTTGGATGGCCAGCGTCAGAGGCATGATCTGTTTGCATTTATCCACTGACATGCACGCTCCATTTTTCTCAGGAACTGAGGAGCTGGAATCCCGCTGTTCAGCTTGTGGTTGTTGCAAACAGTAAAAGCAGTCCACCAACACCCAACTTCGAAATGCCCCGCGCATGGCACACCTGAATTCACCCAATGACCCGAGACTCTGAACCTGTCAAACCTCAGACCACTACATACCGCCCTTAACTCCTGAACAGCCGCTTGCCTCAGGCCAAGAAGACGGCTGAGGCATTGTCCTTAGTCAAGCGTGAGCGTGATGGTGGTAATAGTTGGAGGAGGAAGAGTAGGAGGGGGAGGAGAGCGAGAGTGATGGCGCCTCTGCTCGTACACGATTGTAGTGGTGTAGCTTGCTTTGATGTAATTTTTTCGGATTGTGTCTTTTCAGTGCTATGTAGTGGTAAAGCTCATAGTGACTGAAAAGGCTACATCTAAATGCCGGGTGCGAGACCTTGCCTAGATACTTGCGAGCTAACTGGAATCTCCAAGCGGGCCGTCATCCTTGCGCACTGGGTGCATGGAGTATGAACTGCCCACTGTCATGGCGTTAGTCACGCGTCTTTTCGTGACTTCAAGACAACCAGAGGCCTTGACTCTCCCTGGCAGTTCCTTCAAGACAGAGAGTACATCTTGCTATATCTTGCTATATCTTGCTATTGCATGCGGCAGCTCCCTATTGCAAAAGCATTTTCCATCAAACAAGTGCGATTCGAATACAGTGGTTGGTAGGATTGAAAGTAAGTGTTCCTTCACAGCTTCGACAGTAACACGTGGTACGGCAACTCATTTTCGTTGCACCTGGACAGCTTAGCTCTGCCAGATTCGGAATGATCAGGAGTTGCCAGACAAGGGCCGAGGGCGTAGATCGCGTCAGAACCTCAGCTGACGGCAGCAGCAGCAATCAGCTTATACATCTTTTGGTGGTCTGAGCGAGGCTCTCGACGCCGACGCGATGATTCCCGCTCCGAGCCAGGATCCTGGTATGGATTGACGGTCGGCAGCGAGGTTCTGTAACAGTTGCGGTAGGAGGAGTCGCAGTAGCAGCTCGTGAAATTATCTCTTGTAGTCTCGCAATCTTCGATTTCAGAGCATTTGAAGTGGCCCCTCCTCTTTGCGCAGATATGTGCACATCACCGGCGAAGGTATTATTAGCTGTTGCATGCACTTGCAAGCTTTTCACCACAGCGCTCCATGAAGTATGTGTTGAAAACACTGCTGAGGTCATACACGCCGCCGCTGGCTTAGTGTGAACGGCGCCGTGGCGGCTGTCCAGTCTTGTCAAAGCCGAAGGTCATATTCGCCCCCTCGTGATCGGCGGCGTCGCAGGAGGCTAATCTCGCAGCGCCTTGGGGCTTGACCCCAAATCTCCAGAGTCGTGTATTAGCATTTCCCAAAAAGAGCCCTTACTATGGGATCTCGAAATGGGAACCCCTTAATTTTGGGAGACCGTATGGAATTTCTGCAGAGGGGCCGCCGCGACGAATCTCGAAGCCGTCGCCGGCACCGGCGTCGATAGCAACAGAAGGCCCACAGACAGACTATGCTCTGGCAATGCGTGGATGGTTCCTAAATGTGTTTGTAGTTGCAAGGGCAGAGAGCTCCCAAAACAATGGTGAAAGCTTGCTGCAGGCCTTCCGCCCTCGCATACTTGTTTGTGAGCTGCGACCTGCCTTGCAGAGTGTGAGGTGTGGTAAGGTTTCAAAATCAGTGTCCGAGCTAGGGACTTAGGGTATATTAGGGTTATATTGGGGTAATATTGGGGTAACATTAGGGTAATATTAGGGTTATGTTGGGGGTATCAGCTGTACTTAGAGCACTCGTGGATATAGCTTAGCATCGACCCCGAGCCCTTTTCTCACGTGGCCCATGTTGTAGATGAGAACCTCGGAATCTGCCAATGGAAGTGATCTGACTCTTGCACTTGTGGTTATCAATGCTGAGAGTTGGTGTTTACTATAGGGGTCTAAATAATTCCAGGCATGATTTTCAGGTCTATTTGCGGTACGCCTTTAAATAAGTATACAAGGAATGTGCTGTTGACCTGCAAGCTGCACAGCGCAGAGAGTGCTGTTGCATCAAGTTGAAAGTGCAGACCCAGACCCCTAGAACCATCTAGAACCATATGGGAAATTATATTGGATTTTATAGGGGTTATAATGGGTCTATATAAGGGATCTAATTTTTAGATCCTCCCAGGGGTCTGGGGACCCTATCAGCACAAGCGACAAACGGATCGCTACACCAGCTCAGAGCACAAAATGTTGCAGATGGCTTCCTCGTCTAACAAGCCCCTCCCTACCCCAACAATGAGAATCATGATAGTAATAGTAAACAATCCCCCAGAACATTATATATATATATATAATGAGACCATGTTGGGGGGGTCTGCTGTTGGGGTTGGGGGGTGGTTCAGTTAAGAGGGGCTGTTGAAGAATGCATCTTGTGTGTTACTTAGACAGCGAGGGTGCGCGTCATTCGCCGACAAGGTCTTTCGCACAGACCCATGGACTCAGCATTTCTTGCACATAGAAGGCGAGCAGCAAATCAATGTCTGGTTTTCCAGAGTGTGACCTGCCTCCACCGTCGCGGCTGACCGTGGCAGATCGTGCTTCGACAAGCTTGCAGCACTTGGATGCCTGCATCACAGGATTTACCTACCTGAACATTCTCCTGGAGTATAAGGGGGTATATAGCATGGATTGGGCGGCTATCCCCAGAGTACAAAAACACGTTACTGCGACTGAGCGATTGTAAACTAATGTTTGTGAATCCACAAACTTCCAATATGTGATTGTCTTACTGAAGCCGCTGTGTGACTTGCTAATTGGCAGTTACTTTGCAGATGGATTTCGTAAACTATATATTCGTTGGAGTGGTTGAGAATATTCTCAACAAGCATTCTGGCAAGCTGGGTGGAATAATAATTATGTGCCCCCTTTACATGTTACATCTATGTGGGGGTGTGGATGTTTTCGGCTGACTTGGGTCCGCGAAGTGAAGGATGCAGAGTAGCATTCCGGGAGAAGATGTTGTTAGATACAGAACGGGTGGAATGGGTGCCTTGCTCGCTGGGATTGGCAGAGTTTATGTTCACTACACCTTGTCTGTTTTGACTGCTCCCCCCCCCCCAAAACGTGTACTTCTTTTCCAGCCTCTCATTTGTCATTGCGTGTTTTGCATGCGAAATGAGACCGTCAAAGGACATCAGGCAAAAGCGGTAGAAGACCTGCCCAAAACTTGCACGGAAGTAAATCCTTAACCCCAAAACGCCAAAGAGCTGGTCCCAAGTTAATAGCGGGAGACTGCGACTAGCTATCCTGGCTTGTGTCACCCAGAGGTTGGTGACGGTTGGTACTGTATCAGTGATACAGGGGCTTTGTGGGATTGTACAGTTATACAGGTTTCTGTACGGTTTAGAGTTCGTCTTGGAAAATCAAATGTGACAGAACATTTAACATGAAACGGCAGTTGGTGGCTGGAGAGATTTTTGCTTCAGTGATTGTATAAGGTGTCCAGGCTTGTGTAGCATGTGCAGTCTCATGTCAACGCCGTGGTTTCAGGAAGTGTGTAGGATTGTGCGCCCCCTGGGGCAATGATTTCCCACGAACAGGAGGGCATTCCACACGGTTGAACCCTCAGAACTTCCTACAACCGACGCAGCATATTTGGTTATCCCCATTTTTCAACTACTAGCTAAGCCCCCCTGACCCTCTAAGCAGCGATTCCCTGCGGTGCCTGACCGTAGGGTACCCCCACCGAAGAGTAACCCAGCATTTCCACAATGCTCAACCGCATGCCGAACCACGGAATATCCCTGCAGCGCCCGACCGCAGAGTATCCCCGCAGCATCCAAACGCTAAATGTGTGCCCAACTTCAGAGTCTCCCCGCAGTGCCCTGAAGTTTGCATTGCCCAACCCCAGAATATCATTCACAATTGCTGAACACTGAACTGAACACTGAACCCCAAAGCTTCCCTGCTGCACCGAAACCCAAAGTCTCCTTGCCGCAGTGCCCAACCACAGACTATCCCTGCAGCGCCCAATCTCCGAATGTCCCTGCTGTGCGCAACCGATGGCACCAGAGGTTCCATGCAGTGCCCCACTTTCTCCCTGCAGTGCCAAACCTGTGAAAAAAACCAAGCTTCACACAAGCCAGCACGCCACCCCAACGGTATTGCTTGGAATGCATTGTTCTTATGAGTTGTTAATAGTTGTTATGCTTGCAGGCCGGCAAAATGTTTTGGACTTGCATCGTTGTGGAAATAGTTGATGATGTCACACAACCACAGAAACGCAAGGGTGGGGATGTTCGAACTAAATGCCTTGCTTGGTCTGCAAGCTTAACTTTCTGTGTGCAAGGTGAGATTTCTGTCGTTTGTCTCATATGTGCATGTGCAAGTTCATGTGAACGCAGGATGCAGCACACGGTTTCAAGTTTCAAGAGGGGTTTTGGCGGGATGGACGACGACAGCATGCCGCCAGGTTGAACCCTCAAAGCTTAGGCTGGTTCCGGGGCAGATTCAAAGTTTCGTTCATTCTGAGGTCTCCCCATACCGCTTCATGTGTGGCACTGCTTGATTTGCTATTGCATCTGGCTACTCAGTTCTGTGGGCTCTTCCTCATCCATGGGCTGCCCATATTGGCTCAAGCTGCCGGTCCTCTTGCACGCTTTCAAAGAGGTGGCTGCCAACATGAGCAGCAGCTTTCCGCCAGGTTGAACCCTCAGAGCTAAGGCTGGTTCCGTGCAGATTCAAAGTTTCGTTCATTTTGAGGCCTGCCGCCGCCATTCCCAGTCTGGCAAGCTGGGGTGGAGGCCATGCGCAGTCAGTGCCTTTGTCTTGATGCACCTATAACTGCAAGTTCAGGCAACACTGGCGTCAATGCAGTCACGCTTGGCTGTCTTGGAGGCCTGTTTGCTTCGGTGGTTTTAATCCTCTATGTGTCCAACCATATCAACGAGAGCACAGTCGCTTGAAAAACTCTCCGAGACCTGGGCATGCAAATCTATGGATAAGATACGTGCCCTAAAAATCTGTAAGTAGTACCTGCTTTGGGATATCTGGGTCCTTTGGATAAGGCCCAAACCCTAAACCGTTCTTGTACAGCATTGCGGCAGTCTGACCAAGGTTGAAGATCCCTTCAATTCCATTTCTTGTCAATTTGATTCAACTTATTTTCAGACGTGCCAAAAGCTTTTTCAGGAAGAAGCAGACTGTTGTCAGGCAGCCATC